GTTTATGACGTCTTTACAATAAATCCATTGGATGTTGGATGTGTACAGATTAATAATTTAGTCTTAGATGCATGATTTTTTTTATTAGCTGTTAGTGGCTTTGAACTAGCTGTCAGTAACTGCGAGTACTCTAAGATCTGTATTTAGTGTCCTTTTGTTGTTTGGATGTACAAGTACCCGGCCACGTCCACTTGTATTTGTAGTATTTGTATTTTTATCCATCTGATGAGTTAAGCCTCTTTCAACTGATTTTTATAGTTCGTTCTTATGTTGTACTGTTACACCACTGTCCCAGATTAGGGGGGTGGTTGGGATTCCGTGAACATGTTTAACCCCGCCACATTCTGTATGTATGTGCCTGACCCAAGTCAGGAGCCTGTAATTCAGTGGTTGTCGTTTGTTTATGTGTTATATATTTGTTTTTTGTTCCTTTTTTGTACATGAATTAGGCCGTTAGTTTTCTCGTTTGAATTGTTTTACATTGTCATTTCGGGGCCTTTTATAGCTGACTGTGTGGTATGGGCTTTGCTCCTTGTTGAAGGCCGTACGGTGACCTATAGTTGTTAATTTCTGAGTCATTTGGTCTCTTGTGGAGAGTAGTCTCATTGGCAATCATACCACATCTTCTTTTTCATAGGTACGGATCAGACGACTATTCTGACATCTTAAAATTTTAGACAAGGAAAAGTAGCAGTCGACCAATTTGTGATTGTGACTTTAAACTAGAGGCTCTCTGTGTCGATCACCTAGGTCTTCAACATTGTAGACTAGAATAGAATTCACGTGTTTTTGTTTATCTTGTATTGCTGATAATTTTTTCTGTTAAATGTTTCTATCATCTAGCTTTTGCCAAAAACAATCAAACGGGTAAATGAATTGTCATCTAAGGCTTATTTTTATTTATCTGGTATTGCTGATACTTTTTTTTGTTAATTTCTACCACTTATAGCTTTTGCCAAAAACATTCAAAAGAGTAAATATTCCGTCATTTAAGGGTTATCACTCCTTTCAAGATTCACGAAAAAGCAATTATTCCAATAAGGAGTTCACTGAAAATTTTGATCATGTTGACTTATTTGTAGATTTTGTCTTTTTGATCATTTTTGCTTATCAAAGTTTCCATCTATCTATCATTTTGGGGATATTAGACAAATACGCATACTAAATACTATTTTTATACACATATGTACATTCACGTTACTACAATCTATCGATACGTATCTTTTAGCATTGCACAAAGTCATGCTTTTCTCCGACTGTTAATGACGTCTTTACACTAAATTCATTGGATGTTGTATGTGTACTGATTGATATTTTAGTCTTAGATACGTGATTTTTTTTATTATATATAGATATTGACTTTGAACTGGCTGGTAATTACTGCGAGTACTCTCAGATCTGTAATTTTTGTCTTTTTTGTTTTCAAGGATGTATTAATACCCTGCCACCTCCTATCTGTGTTTTTGTTAGATGTTTCTCTGCTTTGTATCGATCTAACGAGTTTGACCCTTTTCGACTGATTTTTATAGTTTGTTCTTATGTTGAACTGTTACACCACTGTCCCAGGTTAGGGGAGGGTTGGTGCCTTCAAATATGTTTAACTCCGCAACATTATTTATGTGCGCGTCCCAAGTCAGTAGTTCAGTTATTGTCGTTGGTTCATGTCTGTCATATTTGTTTTTAATAAATTGTTTGTGTTATAAACTAGGCCGTTAGTTTTCTCAATTGAATTTATCATGTCGGGGCCTTTTAGAGCCGACTGAACGGTATGGTTTTTTTCTTAGTGTCGAATGCCGTTCGGTTGCCTGTAATTGCTTACATCCACTTCATTTGAACTTCAGTGGATAGTTGTCTCATTCATTGGCAATTATACCACATCAACCTTTTTGTTATATAAATGAGGGTCTGGATGGCTGGGGTCCTTCCTTTCTGTATTCATTCTTTAATTTTAATGCCATTTTTCTGTATTGTTTATAATTTTGGTCCATTATTCTCTTTTCTTTATATTTCAGCACCTCATTTTTCTCTATTCTTTATATTATTGTCCATTTTTTTCTGTTCTTTAAACCCCAATCCACACCCTCATAAACGAGAAAAAAGTTAAAATTCGTCTTTTAAGGGCAATAACTTCCATAAGAAGACTGATGATTGTTTTGACTTAACAATAGACAGTAGGTTGAATTCAAATTTTTTGCAACATTCTCAATATTTTTGTTCCTGTTAGAGTTTTTCTATTCGTAGCAGTTTTCAAGATAATAAACATTTTACCCCTTTTTATTCTTTTTTTAGCCATGTCGGCCATATTGGTTGGTAGGCGGGGGTCATCAGACACATTTTTTAAACTCGATACCTTAAAGATGATTGTGGTCAATTTTGGTTAAATATGGCTAGTACATGTAGTTTCAGAGAAGACTTTTGTTCAAGTTAACGGACAACAGACGCAATTGATGAACAAAGCGCACTCTGCCCTTTAGGACTGATTGTGAGGTGTACATGTCTACTTGGAAGGGTTCATTTGACCATTAACCTCACTTTCATCGTTCATTGGTTAATGTAATGTTTTTGTGATTTGGTTCATTTCTTAAAATACTGTAAGCAGTGGGTCAACCATTATGGTCTAATTGAATGATTGTAAGTTGTATATGTTTGTCTGGCAGACAAAGTGTATGGATCTTTATGAAATTGTACTACAAGTTTCCATATCACAAAGGGAAAGCTGGGTTTGCGTTTGGGTGTAATTGCCCTAAATGTTTAGGAATTTGGTGCCAAAAAGGGGCCAAAAAACAAGCTGTTTTCTAGTTTCTAGACAATAACTTGTGTTCAAGTGTATGGACCTCTCTGAAATTGTACTGCAAGGTACCATACCACAAAGGGAAGGCTGGGATTGAGTTTGGGGGTGATGAATCATAAGGGGGTTCAAAATATTTTGGGGGGGGGGGGGATTTTTTTTTCCTTTTTTTTTCTTTAAAATTTTCCATTTTAAATTGGTTATTTCTGATTTATATATAAAAGCAAATAATAGTGATATGGTTTGAATAGGTAAATTTAAATTTTCTTAGACCACATTCATTCTGTGTCAGAAACCTATGATGTGTCAAATATTTAATCACAATCCAACTTCAGAGCTGTATCAAGCTTGAATGTTGTGTCCATACTTGCCCCAACTGTTCAGGGTTCGACCTCTGCGGTCGTATCAAGCTGCGCCCCAGCGGAGCATTTTATTGTGTTTTGGTCTGTTTTTCGAATACTGTATGCAATTGGTCAACTATATTTGGTGTATGAAAAATATTTAACGATGTATATGTCAGTCTGGCAGGTTTTATTTGACCATGACCTCATTTTCACGGTTCATTGCTCAATGTTAACATTTGTGTTTTGGTATGTTTTTCTTATACCATACGCAACGGGTTAACTATATTTGGTGTATGTAATGATTGTAAAATATATATGTCTGTCTGGCATGTATCATCTGACCTTCATCTCATTTTCATGGTTCATTGGTCAATGTTAAGGTTTCCTAGTTAAAGTTTGTTTCTTAGATATTATATGCAATATGTCATCTGTATTTGATGCATGGGATGATTGTAAGGTATACATGTCAGTCTTGCAGGGTCCATTTGACCGTGACTTCATTTTTGGATCATGTTAAGATAATGTTTTACTTGTAGTAAATCTTTATATTGAGGACTATCAACATAAAATTAATTGTCAGTAAAGCAGACTAGACATTTCAGAGTGTGCACTCTTGTTTACATACTAAAAGAATCAGTCAATCAATTTGTGATGATGACCCTAAACTAGAGGCTCCAAAGAGCTTGTGTCGTTTACCTAGGGCTATGTGTTTCTTCAACAATGGACACTCTGCAACATTCAATGTAGACTAGAATAGAATAAATTTACTTTATTGATCTTGTATTGCTGATATTTTTTTTATGTTAACAGTTTCTCTATCTTTTAAAGTTTTTGCCCAAAACATTGAATAGGGTACAAAATTGTCATCTAAAAGCAAATCAATCCTATCCAGAGCCTACAAACGATTACGGTAAATTTCCCTAATCTATCTATCATTTGAACTTCAGTGGATAGTTGCCTCATTGGCAATCATACCATATCTACCTATTGTTATATAAATGGAAAAAAAAAGAATGGTAAAATTCCTCATTTAAGGGCAATCACTCCTATAATAAGTTGTCTGGTTGTTTGACCCAAATAGACAGTAGGAAGAATTCAACATTCTAAACTTGTTTGTTCCTGTTAAATTTTCTCAATTCATAGAGGTTTTTAAGATAATAAACGAAACACGCATTTCCCCCAATTGTTCTAGTTTAACTATGTCGGCCATGTTGGTTGTTAGGCGGGTTTCATCTGACAAATTAAAAAAAAATAATTCTCTAACGATGATTGTGGTCAAGTTTGGCCTAATAGTTTCAGAGGAGAAGATTTTTGTTAAAGTTAACGGACGACAGACGTCAATTGACGAGCAAAGCTCACTTGGCCCATTTGGGAATGATTGTAAGGTGTACATGTCCGCTTAGAAGGGTTCATCCGACCTTAACCTCATTTTTATGGTTCGTTGGTCAATGTAATGTTTTTGTGATTTGGTCCATTTCTTAAAATACTGTAAGCAACGGGTCAACTATTATGGTCTAATTGAATGATTGTAGGTTGTAAATGTTTGTCTGGCAGAGTTCATCTGACATCGACCTCATTTTCTTGGTTTATTGGTAAACATTGTTTTGTTGATTTGGGTCTTTTTCTCAGATTCTAGGAACAAGAGGTCACATATTTTGTGAAGGGAATGATTGTAGCGTGTACATGTCCGTCTGCCAGGATTGACATCACCGTGGCCTTATTTTCGTGCATCTTGGTAAATGAAACGAGACATCACAGTGTGTGCACTCTTGTTTTACAATATTGAATTACTATTTTGTCGGACTGGAAGAGGTTGATTTTTTTTAACTCGATGCTTCAGGTTTTGTAGAACACATTCTCTAAAACACTGCAGATACACATACTTTAAGTTTTTGTTGATTTCTAAAAAAACAATTTATAGCTAGTCATTTCTTGTGACAGTCTTCTCTTTATTTGTCTGTGTTCGTCTATGTCATCTTTTAAGTTGCAGCTGAAAAAAAGAAAAAAAACCATTTGCCATGGTCAAATTGTCTCATGCTTAGCCACAAAATGCATCTATAATTTGATGTATTATATATACATTTAAAAACAAGCATAGAGGTAAATAAAATCAATCAGATATCAATTTGAAAGTCCAACAATGTTTTTTTCAATTTTTTTCACTATTAAGGAAGACAAGACAGTTTTATTCTTAGACTTTCAAAAGCATAAAATTATTTTATGGAAGATATTTTTAAGGCACTTCTTTAATTGAAAAAAAGTCTATATGTTCATTTCTCTACCTTTTTGTTTTAACTAAATATTCCTAATATTTGTTTTAACTAAATATTCCTAATATTTCAAACAATAAAGCACTCGTTGTTTAGCTTAGCATACTCCAACTAGTTATTCAAAGTATGGACAACAGAAAGCTGGTGTCTGAAATGCGCACATTTTTAACAACTCATCATTTTTAAGCTGCTGACCAAATACGAAGTCTTCTTGTGACGAAAAGATTTGTGGGACGAAATGAGTAGGTGAAACAATATAGTTTCCACTCAGTCCTGGGTATAATATTGTCACTGAATAGACTATTTTCATATTACCGACTTTTGACTCCGGAGTTTATATTTTTTCGACAGGTTCCCTACATTGTCATAGGACATCCTTGTACTCGGTCAAGTAAAAGCAACTTAAAGAAGTAAAATCAAGCTTAAGAAACAATTTTTGATAAAACTTATCTGTTTTATGTTTTCTGTCGAGAAAACAGTAAACTTTCCCCCAACATTGCACCGATTATGTGTTTAATTTTACCTCTTTTGGTTGCTCTTACTTGACCGAGTACCAGAATGTCCAAATACCACAGTGGAAGGACATCCTCACTGGGGTACACGTGATATCCGCAACGCAGTAACACATATCCAAAGATGGCGGACGATGTTTCTGGTAAGTATTTCTTTTGTCGATTTTGTAACAATTATGCACTATTCTTCGTTATTTCGTGTCTTACATTTTAATGTATTGCTAAATTTGGAACTGAAATACTAACGGTTTTTTCATAGTTCAAACGCTTAATGGAGATATCAGCATTCCAAAACAAATGCGATGATATGGGTAACTGAAGAAGATAAATTGTCGTTGATATACGTAAGTGGAAATATTGATATCCGTAACTGATTTTATTCCTAAACAATTGTCATTCTCGTTTGAAATGAAATAAGAGTATTTTGTTATCGCGATCGTTATAAATCGGAATCTAAATTGTTTTTTAGCAAATCTCAGAAATCGGTTCTAAGATTTTTGTTTAGATAAGCGAGGCGAAAGATACCAAAGGGACATTCAAACTCATAAGTCGAAAATAAACTGAACACGCCATGGCCAAAAATGAAAAAAGACCAAAAGACAAACAACAGTACACAAAACACAACATAGAAAACTAAAGACTGAGCAACACGAACCCCACCAAAAACCGGGGCGATCTCATTGCTCCAGAAGGGTTAACAGATCCTGCTCCACATGTGACACCCCATGTTAGAAGTAACATATTTTTGGTATGAAGTTTTCCATTTAAATGATTAACAAGAGGCTCATGAGACCCTGATATTGCTCAACTGTAATTTTAGTTTCAGGCATTAAAATTTTGACTTATTCGTAGATCTTACTTTGCTGAACAATTTTGTCATTTACACTTTTTCTCTTTCTATAATAATATTAAAGATAATACATGACCTAAAACTGTAAAATTTACTATAAAATTAACTATTTGTGGACAGTAACCCAATAATAAATTGTCCTATTGGTCTGAAGGTTACTTAACAGGTAGGTTTTGAGATGAAAGCTAAAAACTTCATTTGACCTCTATGTTTTATTTTTAAAAACTGCCGCCATGTTTTGAATGGATCAAATCCCTGAATACAATCTATAAATTAAATACCCTAAGAAACACTCTAAAAAATTTTTTAAGTATTTGGTCAAGTAGTTTTAGAGAAGATTTTTTAAAAAGAAATTAGACTTTCACAAAAAAAGTAAAAAATAAAAAAAAAAACGTTTAAAGGGCAAAATCTCCTTAAGGGGTGACTTGACCATTTTGATCATGTTGACTTATTTGTAGATCTTACTTAGCTGAACATTATTTTTTTATTGCCATTTATACTTTCTCTCTACCTATTATAATATTAAAGAAAAAAACCAAAGACAGTATAATTTAATAAAAATAAATTATTTCCAACAGTAACCCACTAATGGGTTGTCGAACTTGTCTGAAAATTTCATAATAGGTAGATCATGACCAATTTATCACTTTAACTCCTTTCACTTTTGCTCTAACTGCTGTAGTTTTTGAGATATAAACCAAAAACTGCTTTTATTCCTTATGTTCTAGCCATGGCGGCCATGTTTGTTGATGGATCATAACTTCGGATACAATTTATGAACAAGATACCCTAAGAAACATTCAGCTAAAGTTTGGAAGTATTTGGCTCAGTAGTTAAAGGGCAATAACTCCTGAAGGGGTCAATTGACAATTTTGGTCATATAAAATTTTTTTGTAGATCTTACTTTGTTAAACATTTTTGCTGTTTTCATTTTATCTTTATCTTCAATAATATTCAAGATAATAACCAAAAACTGCAAAATTTTCCAAAAATTACCAATTTAGTGGCAGCAACCCAACAATGGGTTGTTGGATTTGTTTAGAAATTTCACGGCTGATAGATCTTGACCTATTGAACATTATTACCCCAGTCAGACTTGCTCTAAATGCTTTAGTTTTATATATATATAAGCCAAAAACTGCATTTGACCCCTGTGTTCTATTTTTAGCCATGGCGGCCATATTCGTTGATGGATCAAAACTTCGGATACAATTTATAAACTAGATACCCTAAAAAACATTCAGTTAAAGTTTGAAGGTATTTGGCCCAGTAGTTTCTGAGGAGAAGATTCATGAATTAGTTAACGACGACGACGGACGCCAAGTGATGGCATAAGCTCACATGGGGCCCTTCGGGCCAGGTGAGCTAAAACTGATAAACTCATCTGGGTCATTGGATATTTTTTTTTTAGAATAAGTCTCCAAATGTAGTGAAAATCGTCAAAATTACGAAATATAAGTATTAAACCCTGACTTCGCCACGCTGCAAAATAGCAGTTTTTCACCTTTTGCATATATCGCCCAAATTTAAGGTTGATCATAGATATATATTTCCTCATATAGAATTGTTTTATATTTTGCCAAAATGAAGGTTTTTAATGCTTTTTTTCAAAATTAAAATAAAAAGTATGGGTCACCGTGCTATTTTTCAAGCTACAAGTCATGCAAAATTGACCAAATTTGTATAGATTGTTCATGAAAAAAAAACACTTTTTTGTGAATAAAAAGAAATCTATGAGATAGAATTTTGAAATAAAATATGAGAAGATAGGTTTTATAATATGCTTTAGGAAAATAAAATCTGAGAAGATAGGTTTTATAATATGCTTTAGGAAAATAAAAAGAAAAAATGATGTAACCGAACTTGTTTTCTTGCTACAAGTAAAAAATGAAAATTTTACTGTCATTCCAGTATAAAATTTTACCATAAGAGAACTTTATCTCCCCTTAAATGGCCAAGTTAAAAATTTATTTTAAAAACATAAATGTTTGGTTTTGTTTAAACATTTTGGATAATGCAGTGAATCACCTATTTTTCCTTATACAAATAAGCAGTCTTACACATAAATTGCAAATCTGTCTCAAAATTTGAAGGTTTAGGCAAAGAACTAGACCGATTGTGTACTGCTATTGTACAATCGAAGATGGCGGTATACAGTGAATCTACAGTAAAAAACAAAAAGAGGTGTATAATTTTAACATTATAATCTATTAAAATAAAATGAACTAATGATCACTGCAGTATAACAATTCGTTTCTAAACAAAGTTCTTAGGACGAAATTTCGCGAAATTTTATTCTTTATATCTTCTGACTTTTTATGTGAATATAAATCATGTCCTAAAATTTTCAATTGCATAAAAAAAACATGCCAGCGTTTTTTTCAGCACACACATACATTAGTCCAAATAATTATGACGTCTTGAAAGGCTATTAGATCTATATTATTTTGCTTTGACGCCTTACAGTGGACGGAATAGAAGACACCTGTTTATTTTCTATACCTGCCAGGATAAGTAAACGGTCGAAACCAGAGAGTTAGTTTAAACATATTTATTTATAGTAGATTGGGAAACAAGTTATTACAATCCCGACATGGGACAGGCACATACATACAGAACGTGGCGGGGTTAAACATGTTAGCGGGATCCCAACCCTCCCCAAACCTGGGACAGTGGTGTAACAATACAACATAAGAATGAACTATAAAAATCAGTTGAAAAAGGCTTAGTTTATTAAATGGATACAAATGGAAATACACATAGCAAAAACATAGAGTGAACGTGGCCGGGTACTTGTACATCCAAACAACAAAAAGACATTAAGTACACATCTGAGAGTACTCAGAGTTATTGACAGCTAGTTCAAAGCCAATAACAACTAATAAAAAAACCAGCATTTTTAAGACTGATTTGCTTTAAACTAAAAACCAGTTGTATCTAATTTTCATAACCTCACCAGATATACTTTCAAATTATATGTTTAACGAACTTGATTATACATAAGGATCTTGCACGTCCAGTTCGGATTTTCAGGAGCCGCGGTTCTTTGCACCAATGGATTCGTCGTTCATTTTTGAATTGTTTATCTTTTCTATTTAAATCGGTACACCAACAAAATTGAAAATCTTGTTTATGTAAAATATCTGCCGATTTTTAAGAATTTTCCTATGTATCCTATGTTTTTTTAGCGTCTCATGCTGTTAATTTCAACAGCTCGTATCTCAGAAACAAAAACGGTTACTCCCTTTTCTATTTTATTATCTCGTGAACTTTTACACAAAGAATCCGTATGTGAAATTAAAAAAAAATAATTCTGTGGAGTAGTTAAGTACGTACACTTTGCCTCACTAGAAACCAA